GTGCAGCGGTGGGGCCGAGACAGGGGACGGCGGGGCCGTCAGGGTGCAGTGGCGGAGCCGGGACAGGCGCAGTGGCGGGGCCGCAGGGTGCAGCGGCGGGCCGTCAGGAAGCAGCGGAGGGCCGCTGGAAGCACCCACGGCTGAGCAGGCTGCGGGGCCGCGTCGTAGGAGGCGGCAGGGCCGCGGCTGAGCAGGCGGCAGAGGCCGCGTCGTAGAGGGCGGCGGGGCCGCGGCTGAGCAGGCGGCGGAGGCCGCGTCGTAGCGGGCGGCGGGGTCGCGGCTGAGCAGGCGGCAGAGGCCGCGGCGTCTGCAGGCGGCGGAGGCCGCTTCTTAGCAGGCGGCGGGGCCGCGTCTTAGCAGGCGGCGGGGCCGCGTCCGAGTAGGCGGCGGGGCCGCGACTGGGTGGTGGGGCCGCGTCTTAGTGGCGGGGCCGCGACTTAGTGGCGGGGCCGCGACGTAAGGGCGGGGCCGCGACGTAAGGGCGGGGCCGCGACTGGACGGCGGGGCCGCGAACGAAGGGCGGCGGGGCCGCAGGGGAAGGGCGACTCGGGGGGGTTGCTAAAAAAAAAGGATCGCGCGCCTCGGGGCGCGCTTCGGTGGGCCCTAGGCGAAGTTCCCACAGGGAACCCGCTCTATACCATGTGAAAAGAATGAACAGGAATGAATTGACTAAGTCAGAGTTGGGTACAAATACAACCCTAGCAAACTGTACCCCATATGTGCTACCCCACTATAGCCTACAAACATGCATCAGCTATAATAATCTGACATCAGCAGTACCCCCTTTGTCAGAATGTTATTGTTCTCTAGCCTGCAGTGGGGTACTCTATAGCGAGTACAACCCCTAAGGGTTTCCTATATGTATCCTGCTGCTTTCTAGTGAACCCTCTCTTCTTCATTCTAAACTTTCCACTCCTCATTTTCTCATGCTATCAGAGCAGGTCGATCCCCTCGGGTCAATCCTGTGGGTGGGCTCACCACCTCACTGCTTCCGCTGCTACTGCTACTCTCTGTGTTGCACGCCCCGTGGCGTGCAACAGATTTTTCATCCCGCCGCGCGCTCGGAGCGTGCGGCGGTTCTCTGCCCGCCGTGCGCCCCGAGGCGCGCGGCGAGTTTCTGCCCCGTCACGCAGCGCGTCGCTCCCGGGAGGCGCTGCGACGGGCGACGGGGACCCGCGCGTCGCCCCCTGTCGCCCGTCGTGGTCTGCGCGCGGCCCGTACGGGCTGCGCCAGGCCCGCGCGCGGCCCGTACGGGCTGCGCCAGGCCCGCGCGCGTCTCGAGCCGCGTGCGCGCGGTTCGGGCGGCTGTGCCAGGCCCGTGGGCGGCCCGTTCTTCGCTGCCCCTGCGCTGCCCGCTGTCCCCCGTGCCTCTGATGGCGCCCCACCCCTACTGCTGCCCGTTCTCCTGGATTAGGGTTTGGGGGTGGGGGGTATGGGGGTGCAGCTTCTGTGTGCCGTCCCCTGCTCCTCCTCCTCCTCCGTCTCCCAGTGCTGCAGCTGCCGCTGAGGGGGGTGGACCTGTTGGAGCCGTTGGAGTGGTACTAAGGGGGGTGAAGGGGGAGTGGAGCTAGGGGTGAAGCAGGGGGTGTGTGTCAGGGGGAGTGGGACTGTTTGGGGAGGTTGAACGGAGGTTGCCGTCGTGTCGCCAGCAGCACCTGTAGTCCGGGGAATTGCTCCGGTAGCCCAGACGCAGCCAGCTGTGCCAGTCGCCCGTGGGTCCGTTGCTCGTCTGCCGCTACTTTTAGCCGCGGGGCCAGTTACTCCAGTAGTCCGGAGCGCTGTTCCGGTAGCCGCTGTGCCAGTGTGACTCCTGTTGCCCGTGTGTCTGCAGCTTTAGCTGTCGCCTCCTATCTCCTCTCCTCTCACTGTCCCTCCTCCTCCTCACTTGCCCGTTGTGACTACCACTAGCTTTGCTCATAATTGTGAACTTTAAACTGTTGCTTCTTGTACTTGTGCTCAGAATGTGTAGTGACATTGTGATCCACCCTGAGCTTGTTCTGCTTTGCTTGCTCTGCTGATTAACCCCACTTTGGCTATGGGGGTGTGTCAGAATGTTATTGTTCTCTAGCGTGCAGTGGGGTACTCTATAGCGAGTACAACCCCTTAGGGTTTCCTATATGTATCCTGCTGCTTTCTAGTGAACCCTCTCTTCTTCATTCTAAACTGTCCAAAAAAAAAAAAAAAAATGTCAGAATCCCAACCACTAGACCATTGGGATAAGAGGGCTTGTTTCAGTAGCGGGTCAGTGCGCCCATAACCCCCCAGGCGAACGCGTCTGTAACCCTCTCAAGGATCAATCGGGCATCCACAGTGCAGATCTACTGACACCCCCCCATACAGGAAGGCCTAGGACTAAGCACAGCGGCAACGGCCTACATGTGCATACACCGGGAATCGAACCCGAGATCGCTCTGATACCATGTCAGAATCCCAACCACTAGACCATTGGGATAAAAGGGCTTGTTTCAGAAGCGGGTCAGTGCGCCCATAACCCCCCAGGCGAACGCGCCTGTAACCCTCTCCAGGATCAATCGGGCATCCACAGTGCAGATCTACTGACACCCTTGACAACAGCTTGGCGATGTTCGACAGCCCAAGGGATCCAGCGAGGGATGAGTCGAGGCATCGAAAATCGACAGTCCATCCGGGCCCTGGTGGCTCGAATTCCACCAGGACCCCTCCTGGTGGAAAGGGGTTTTCACCAGCGCCGCACGCGGATGCAAGGGCTGTCGCGGCCCCCAGCTGGGAATTGCACGCGAGAGGGAGTGCCCCGCCCGCATGCAGGTCCCTAGCGAGATCCGGGCGGCGGAGCAAGCTGGCGGGGTGGTCCCGCGCCGAGCCCGGGCCACGCCAGCGCCACGCAGCGTGGTCCCAACCCCGGCCCCCCCCCCCCCGTGCCCAGCCCTGGCTCGCGAAACCCCTCGCAAAACCCCTCGCTCTCCAATCCGAGGGCGAGGGCTGAACCCCAGCGTGCCGAAACGGATCCGGCCAATCGGAGCCGTTTCGGATGGGCTTGTGGCCCGGGCAGGGGCCCAGCGAAACAATTCGCACACTTGGCGTGCCGGACCGAATCCGGCCAATTGGTAACGGAATCTTCCGGATCCATGGTTCGCAAGCCCACCCCGAAATACTCTTCGCGCGTGCGAAGGGTAGCCAGTGTTCGCCCACAAATCATCCGCGATTCAGGAGAGTGTTCACCCAATATACTATTGTTACACTTTTTTTATTATTCGCAAATCGTAAACACGATTGAACGGTATATATAGTCCTTCACGTGACTTTTCCCATAAGATCAACCAACCCCCCTCACTTATTATGCGAATTAGAATCCCCCACACATTTTTTTTTTTTTTTTTTAAAGTGACGCGTGGTGCGTTTTGCCAAGTCAATTAAACGCGATTTACATTTTTTCACTCGTGTACTGTATTATTCGTCTGTGTAAAAGGTGGTAGTTTCGGATCGTTACCCAGCTTTTTGGCGGACGCGTCGAGGAATACACCCCGCCCAAGGTGGTAACCGTCGCCCCTTGCATGCAGTCCGCGGTCGGAGTGCTACATGGCGGGATGTGGTTCCACCCGCATGCATGAACGGGAACGCACCCACCTCGGGATGTCCGAAGGGGCGCGCGGGCTCCTCCCCACCACGCGCAGTGCTACCCCCTGCCTGTTGCTCGCGCTGCCCCCATCCAGGATGCGTCCCGTCCTCTATTAGGCCCTTGCAACAGGGTTTCACATGCTCATTTTCCAGTTCTCACTTGTCAGAGCATTATAGCTTATGCTTTTGTGTAGGCTGTAGTGGGGTAGCCTATATGGGGTACAACCCAATTAGGGTTAGTACTTGTACCCAACTCTTTCATAGTGCATTCATTCTCGTTCATTTACACATGGTTTCAGAGCACATATGCTCCTGGCCTGTGGGCCCTACTACTGCTTCCGCTGCTACTCGATCTGTCGCACGCCCCGTGGCGTGCGACCTATTTTACATCTCGGCGCGCGGCGATTTTCTCTCTGGCGCGCGGCCCCGTTCCTTCTAGGCGCGCCACTCCCCGCTACCCCTTCGCGGCGCCCAGGGGAGCCATGCGCGACCCCTCGCTGCCCCGTCGCGGCCCCATCTCGTCGCGCCGCCCTAGCGGCCACGTCGCGCCGCCCTCGCGGCCCCGATCCGCCGCCCTAGCGGCCCCGTCACCTACCCTTGCGGCCCCGGCGCCGCCCATCCCGGCCCCGGCTCCGCCCTTCCTGGCCCCGGCGCCACCTCGGCTGGCCCCGTCGCCTACCCCGGCGACCCCGACGCCGCCCTTCCCGACCCGGCCCCGCCTCTGCTGGCCCCGTCGCCTACCCCTGCGGCCCCGGCGCTGCCCTTCCCGGCCCCGGCGCCACCTTTGCTGGCCCCGACGCCGCCCTTACCGGCCCCGGCGCCGCCTCTACTGGCCCCGTCGCCTACCTCTGCGGCCCCGGCGCCGCCCTTCCCGGCCCCGGCGCCGCCTCTGCTGGCCCCGTCACCTACCCTACGGCCCCGGCGCCACCTCTGCTGGCCCCGTCGCCGCTCCACCCGGCCCCGCCGCCGTCCCCAAGCGGCCCCGCCGTCACCACCGAGCCGCCGGCGCCGCCGAGCTGCTACCGAGCCGCCCGAGCCACCCGAGCCGCCCGAGCCGCAGTGCCACCTGAGCCGCCTGAGCCGCCGGGTCGTCGAGCCGCCGAGCTGCAGTTGCTGCCGAGCCGTCGTACCGCCGAGCCGCCCGAGCCGCCGAGTCGCCGAGCCGCAGTTGCCGCCCGAGTTGCCCGAGCCGCCGAGCCGCAGTTGCTGCCGAGCCGCCGTGCCGCCGAGCCGCCCGAGCCGCCCGCACCGCCGAGTCGCCGAGCCTGCTCTTCCCACCACTGGTGAGCCCCTGCCCTGCTTGCGCGCTGCCCGCCGCCTGCTTGCCTGCCTGCCTGCCTTTCGGCCTGCCTGGCTGCTCGCCTTACTGCTGCTACTCCTGCTCCTTCTTCTACTGGCGGAGCAAGATGCAGCCCCAGCGACGTCCGCGTGAGTCCCTCACGCCCCAGCAGCTGCGTGAGTGGTACGCTGGTTGGGGTTCTAGGGGTGGCGACGCTGCTACTGCTACCACTACTGCTGCTACTACTACTGGCGGCGGCCAGATGCAGCTCCAGCGACGCCCACGCGCGTCTCTCACGCCCCAGCAGCTTCGTGAGTGGTACGCTCAGAGTAGAGGGTCTCTCAGTTCTGTTCGCTGCTCTTACGTGATTCGCACTGGTGCTCGGACTGGTCAGCCTTGTAGGACACCTAGTCACACACAGTCCCGCTGCTTCGCCCGTCTGAGCGACGCCTGGCGTACCGAGTTTGGCGACGAGGCTGAGCTCCCCGACTGGGTGGAGTTGCTTAGGCAGAGGGTAGATATATTTGCTCTTGACTATGATGCTATTCTCACTGCCATGTATGCATTGCCTACTAGTGCTGACCGTGCCGGTCACTTGTGCGTACCGCCTGACCCGGGTATAGAGCCTGCTGCTCTAGTTGCTGGTGAGGCTGCTGCTCTGGGTGCTAGTGAGTCTCCTGCTCCAGGTACAGGTGCGGCTGCTGCTCTAGGTGCTAGTGAGTCTGCTTCCTCAGGTGTGGGTGAGTCTGCTCTCTCAGGTACCGCGTCGGCTCTGGCCTCTCACACCTTCACTCTTCACTCGGGGGCTTCCCGCTCCTTCTTTCGAGACCGCACCACACTCATGCCGCTTGGTCAGCCAGTTGCAGTCTCTCTGGCAGACCCCTCTGGGGGTCCCGTCCTTGCTCACTTCTCCACTGTCCTCCCGTTTCCGGCGGCCCCCTCTGGCACCCTCTCTGGTCTTTATCTCCCCTCTTTCTCTACAAACTTGGTGAGTGGTGCTGACCTACAGGATGCGGGGGTTCACCAGTTCACTCCTGCGAGTCAGCGGGTGACCCACTGCACGGACGCTCGGACAGGCCGACACCTGGCCACGTTTACACGTCGGCCGGGGTCGAGCCTGTACACGCTGACCACTGCGTCTCCTCCAGTCACTGCGTCTGGTCAGGTAGCTGCGTCGGGTCACGTGTTTGCTGCAGCGTCTAGGTCCGGTCCTGAGTCTGCCCCCTGCTCGTGTCATCTCCTGTCTCACGAGACTCTCCTCTAGCACCACCGCCTTGGTCACCCCTCCCTGCTTCATCTCCGAAGCATGGCCTCCCGTGTCCTTGTCTCTGGTCTTCCCCGGTCCCTCCCTCCCCTTCCTCCGGAGCCTAGCCCTACGTGCATCCCCTGTGTCGAGGGGCGGCAGCGGGCTGCCCCTCACTCCTCTCAGTTTCCTCCGACAGAGGCCCCGCTGCAGACGCTTCACATGGACGTGTGGGGCCCGGCTCGCGTCCGTGGACAGGGTCACGAGCGCTACTTCCTGCTGGTGGTTGACGACTACTCGCGTTACACCACAGTCTTCCCCTTGCGCAGCAAGGGTGATGTCACTAGGGTGTTGATCGACTGGATCCGCGCAGCTCGTCTCCAGCTTAGGCGGAGCTTCGGCTCGGACTTTCCTGTTCTGCGTCTGCACTCTGACAGAGGCGGAGAGTTCTCTTCGGGCCTTCTGCGAGCCTACTATCGTGCACGAGGCATCCGCCAGACCTTCACGCTTCCGGACTCTCCACAGCAAAATGGGATTGCTGAGCGCCGCATTGGCATGGTCATGGACGTCGCCCATACGTCCATGATGCATGCGGCTGCCCCCCATTTTCTGTGGCCGTTTGCGGTCCGGTACGCGGCGCATCAGATCAACCTTCAGCCCAGGGTCTCCATGCCAGAGACCTCCCCAGCTTTGCTGTGGACGGGGAAGGTTGGCGATGCGTCTGTGTTCCGTGTCTGGGGATCTCGGGCGTTTGTCCGCGACTTGTCTGCGGACAAGCTGACCCTTCGTGCTGCTCCCTGCGTCTTCTTGGGTTTCCCCCCTGACGCGCCAGGGTGGCAGTTCTACCACCCCACCTCTCGCCGTGTTCTGTCCTCCCAGGACGTCACGTTCGACGAGTCGGTCCCCTACTACCGTCTCTTCCCCTACCGCACTCCGTCCCTCCCCCCGCCACCGCTCTTCCTTGTGCCAGGTCCCCCCTGGTAGACCCCCTCCCCCCTCAGGGTCCTGCCCCTTCAGGTGTGTCCGAGGTAGACACTGTTGAGCCTGTCGAGGTCGCTGGTGACTCTGGTGCTGCTGAGGGTGCTGAGCCTGGGGGTGCTGACTCTGGGGGTACTGAGCGTGTGGGTGCTACGCCTGGGGGTGCTGAGCCTGGGGGTGCTGAGCCTGGGGGTGCTGAGCCTGGGAGTGCTGAGCGTGGGGGTGCTGAGCGTGGGGGTGCTGAGCCTGGGGGTGCTGAGCCTGGGGGTGCTGAGCCTGGGAGTGCTGAGCCTGGGGGTGCTGAGCCTGGGGGTGCTACGCCTGGGGATGCTACGCCTGGAGGTGCTAAGCCTGGAGGTGCTGAGCCTGAGGGAGCTGGGCTTGCTCGTGTGGCGTCTGGCGGTGCTGTGCCTGGCGGTTCTCCGGGTGCTTCGTCTCACCGGGAGCCACTCTCTCCACAGGAGCTGCTTGAGTGGTTTGCCCGGCGCTGGAGGCGAGCTGCTGGAGCTGGAGGTGCTGCGGGTATTGGAGGTTCTACTGCTGCTGAAGGTGCTGGTGCCGCAGGTCCCGGAGGTGCTCGTACTGGGAGTACTGGAGCTGCTGGGCCTGCGGGTACTTCTGGAGTTGGAGCTGCTGCGGGTGTTGGCGCTGAGGCTACTGCTGTCGGTCCTGGAGGCGGTCCTGCTGGGGGTGCTACAGGTGCTGCTGGAGGTACTGGAGCTGGAGGTGCTACTGGTGCTGGTGCTGCCGCTGGGGGTACTGGTGCTGTCCCTGCTGTGTCTGGAGTCGCCGCGCGGCCTCGGCCGTACTTCGTTCCGCTCCTTCAGCAGGTTCTTGGTCTCCCGCCTTCTACTGGTCCTCCTCCTCCCTTAGAGTGTCCATAGCCTGTCACGTCACAGTTACAGTTACAGCCGGCCTCCCCACTGCCTGCTCCGTCTCCCTACACTGGTCCTACTGGAGGTCTTGCTGAGCGTCGTGAGCCTGCGTCTCGCCCTGCGTCGCCTGTCCGTGCTGCTCGCACTAGTGGTCGCGGTTCGCGTCAGCGTCCTCCTCCTGTCCCTGGCACGCTCCGGATGTCTCTACGTCCGTCCAATGCTCCTCTGCGTGCCCCTTTACCTTCTCCTCCTGAGTCTTCTCTTCCTGCTCTTGCCGACCCCGAGTCGGACTCTCTTTGTGGTGCCAGTCCTACTGTCATGCGTCTCCTTGCTACTATTGTCACTGACCCTTCCTTTGAGTCCACTGCTGCGTCTGCCCTAGTTGCTGAGCTCGTCGACTTTGCTGCTCGCTGTTGCCTAGACTACGCCGCCAGTCTTGTTGCTGAGTCTGAGTCTGTCTGTCCTCCGGCCGTCGGGGGTGAGTGTGCCCTTGGCACGGACGTCCTTGAGGACAGGCAGGAGGATTTCCAGTGTCTGGCTGCTGCTTCACCTCATCTCGTGTCCGTACTGCTTACCCCTGAGGGAGACCCGGATGCACTTGACACCCCGACTCCGCGCTCTTACGCGGAGGCGATAGAGGGTCCCTACTCCTCTCAGTGGCAGGCAGCTATGGACGCAGAGATGGCTTCCTGAAAGTCCACAGGCACCTACGTTGACGAGGTTCCCCCGCCTGGGGCGAACATCGTCAGTGGCATGTGGATTTTCAGGGTGAAGCGGCCGCCGGGTTCTCCGCCTGTCTTCAAGGCGCGTTACGTGGCTCGTGGCTTAAGTCAGCGGCAGGGAGTTGACTACTTTCAGACCTTCTCTCCCACCCCGAAGATGACCACTCTTTGGGTACTGCTGCACATAGCTGCTCACCGTGACTATGAGCTTCACTCTCTTGACTTCAGCACAGCTTTCTTGCAGGGCAGCCTGCACGAGGAGATCTGGTTGCGCCGCCCACCTGACTTCACTGGGTCTTTTCCTCCTGGCACCCAGTGGAGCCTCCGGCGGCCAGTCTACGGTCTCCGCCAGGCACCGCGTGAGTGGCACGACCCTCTGAGGACTACACTTGCGGCTCTTGGGTTTGCTCCCTCTACTGCCGACCCGTCGCTGTTTCTGCGCACCGACACTTCTTTGCCGCCGTTCTACATCCTCGTGTACGTCGACGACTTGGTCTTTGCCACAGCTGACACTGCTGGACTCGCCTACGTGAAGTCCGAGCTGCAGAAGAGACACACGTGCACTGACCTGGGTGAACTGCGCAGCTACCTTGGCTTGCAGATCACCCGGGACAGAGCACAGCGCACCATTACCCTGACTCAGTCACACATGGTGCAGCAGGTTGTCAGAATATTATTCTTATGTTTTAGCCAGTAGTGGGGTGCTCTATAGCGAGTACAACCCTTCTAGGGTTTGCTATTTGTATCACCATTTCTGCTAGTTCATTCCTCTTTCTTTCTTCTAATTTTGTCACAGGTCCTTCAGCGCTTCGGCTTCACGTACTCCTCGCCTCAGGCCACTCCTCTGCCTACTCGCCAGTCGCTCTCAGCTCTGCCTTGGGATGAGTCCGTAGAGTCGAGTGGCCCGTACCCAGAGCTTGTTGGCTGCCTCATGTACCTGATGACCTGCACTCGACCTGACCTTGCATACCCTCTTAGCATTATCACACGCTATGTTGCTCCTGGGAGACACAGACCGGAGCACATGGCTGCAGCAAAGAGGGTGTTGCGCTACTTGTGCAGTACGTCGGGCATGGGGCTTGTGCTTGGAGGGCAGAGTCCAGTGGTCCTCACTGGGCACGCAGACGCTTCTTGGGTTGACGACCAGGCTACGCAGCGGTCGTCACAGGGTTACACCTTCAGCCTTGGTTCAGGCTCTGTTTCGTGGCGGGCTACCCGCTCGTCTTCTGTTCTCGGCTCCAGTTGTGAGGCTGAGATCTACGCCGGGGCCATGGCTGCTCAGGAGCTTCGCTGGCTCACCTACCTGCTGACTGACCTCGGAGAGCCGCCTCGTTCTCCTCCAGTGCTGTACGTAGACAACAAGGCCATGCTGGCCTTGTGTCGAGAGCAGAGACTGGAGCACAGAACAAAGCACATTGCTCTCCGCTACTTCCTTGCTCGTGAGCTGCAGCAGCGTGGTCAGCTGCGTCTTGCGTACGTGGCCTCTGAGGCCAACACTGCTGATGTCTTCACCAAGGCGCTTGCGCCTTGTGATCATCAGCGCTTCTGTACTCAGCTGGGTCTTGTGCCTGCCTTGCCTCACTTGCTCACCTCTTGACCTTGCTTGTACTGTTACATATATATATATACACGTGCTTTTGCTTGTCTAGCCTTTTTATGTATATGTACTCCTGCGTGTGAACTGGCCTTGTGGCCTTAACCTTGGACTCGGAATGTGTGGTGACTTTGTGATCCACCGTGAGCTTGCTTTGCTTTGCTTTGCTTGACTGGTCTTGTGACCCCTTGTACTCCCCCACTTTGCCTATGGGGGTGTGTCAGAGCATTATAGCTTATGCTTTTGTGTAGGCTGTAGTGGGGTAGCCTATATGGGGTACAACCCAATTAGGGTTTGTACTTGTACCCAACTCTTTCATAGTGCATTCATTCTCGTTCATTTTCACATCACTTTGGTTCCCTTCTTTTTGCCATCCTGCTAGTCCTCTCTGCCTACTTCTCGGTGCGAGCGCTTTTTCAAGCGGTAGTGTTTGTGGTCGCGTTCGCGTTTAGGTAGAGGCCCAAAACTCGTAGGGGTATCCGTGTGGTTTGCGTGCATGCTTTCCCTCGTTTGCTCGCGTTTTCCCCCCGCCATGGCCGGTCGCGAACTGAAGGTGCTGTTGAGCAGTGGCGAGCAGGGGGCTATTTACACTGCTACGATCTCGATCGCTGGAGCCACCGTGGATCTCCCCCCCGAGCAGAGGAAGTGCTTCTCCGATGATAAGCACCCTTTCAGCGCGACCTCCTTCGACTTTCTCGCTTGGTAAGTCTACCTTGGGATGGATGGCTTGTTTAGGACGCCTTTTTGGGTCGCATCGCGGCTTTGTGCGGCTTGTTTAGAACGTCCACATGCGGGAGATGCGGTCGCGTGCATCGCATTCGCGTTACCAATTCGCCTGCAAAGTTTCCGTCCGAGCCATCTTCTGTTTGCGTTACCGTTGACGCCCTTCGGGTTTGTTTCCACATATATCGCGACAATTGTTCCATGTACTGGCTTGTATAGTTACGCCCGCATAACAACCCGGCCGCGATGTTTCTGTGGCCATATGTTCTTACGTTTCCCGCACAGCGTGGTAGTTCGGAAGTGTGTGTCCCCATCGCTCCAGGAGGCGATATAGGTGGTGCCCTCCAATGTTGTCGCGGACATTGTCGCGGGTGGTGAGGACGCGCACGTGGCGTTTGACCGTTTGCTTGGATGTAAGCTGGTCGCGTTGTGCATCTGGCCCGGGTGAGTACAGCGGTACTAGTCGTTGGCTGGTTGTGCTTTGCGTACGTGTTTGCCGATAAGTGCTGATGCGAGTCGTCTTGTGTCATATTATCATGTCAGGGAAATGAGTGACAAGAAGGCCTCAAACGCGGGCATGTTGCTGCTTTTGCGACCGGACCACCTGGGGCTTGACGCGACTTCACCCTGGAAAACTCGCTTTGTCCGCGTTTGTCACCCCACTACCGCAGCCGAGCATCTTACCGCGATAGACAAGATTGTCAAGTAAGTCTGTACCAGCGGTGCTATTCTTACCTTCAGCTGCGGCTACTATTCTTCCATGTCTGAGAGATGTCATGTGAACCGTGCAGGTGGTTTCACAGTCGCGTTTGCATTTGCTACGGGAGCGATTCGGTCCAGTGCGACCGTTCTGGGAAGCTGGGAGATCCGTCGCGCCTCGTGGACCTGGTGAGCATGTAGAATGTTCGCGTTTGTTTTGGTCGCATTTGTTACGTCGCAGAGCCCTAACGCAACACGCCATCTTCATGGTTTCCTTTCAAGATATTTCTTCCTGGAAGGCCCCTTGCGGTCCACTAGCATGTGCGAACGCGTTCGACAGAGTTCTTAACGACCTTGACGCGGTTGTTGGACACGACCCTGCGCCTCGCATCGCCAAGCCATTTGCCAAGACTCTGACCACATTGCGGCAAGATGCGAAACGCGCTGCGGAGGAGCTCGCGTTCAGGTCCAGGTGCGGGATCGCGGACGGCCATGGGGGGGATGCTCATGGCCATGAACGTTTGAGGTCGCACGAACAGCCGGCGGGATCACATGTTTCGGGTCGCGATGCACTCGCACTCAATACAGCGCTTGCCCTCGCAAACGCAGGGGAGGGGGAGCAGGGGAAGCCGGACAAGGAGGAGGGCTCGAGCTCTGACCGCGACGAGGACGCCCCTGTGAACGCGACGCAGGGTCTAGGTGCCAAGAAGGCGCGGGAGGAGGCCGACGAGGCAGAGGGACAGGGTCGCGGACTGGACGAAGGGGACGCTGCGGAGGATAACCAGCGCGGTGATTTGGAGTTGGAGGGTTCGGAAGAACTGGAGGGGGAAGAGGACGACGAAGAGGATGAGGAAGAGGAGGAAGAGGTGGAGGAAACCCTCGCGACCAACAATGCCGGGCGGGCGGCGAGCGCGGTCGTGGGTGCAGGGAAGAGTATTCGTGGTCTGCAGGCTGTGCTGTCCCCCCATCACGGTAGCGCGGCCCCGTCTACAGAGTATGCGGGCAAGAGTCTGGTCGCCGGCAAGCGTAAACACTCGGAGCTGGTGAAGATGGATCCTGCTAAGCTGGCCGCGGAGATCCTCCTCTTGGACGAGCATGTGAAAAATCAGAAGCGCAAGCTGGACGAGGTCGTGTCCGCAAAGCCAGGCACAGAACACACGGTGGTGATCACGCAGAGCTACGACGAGCTCGAGGCTACGGTGGAGAAGGTGCTACTTCACGTGCAGAACACGGAACGGGTGATGCGCAGGGAAGCCAAGCTGGCCGCGAAAGACAGGGCGGAGAATCGCGACATGCGGGAGATGCTGAAACGCGCTGCTGTCCGCTTGGAAGATTGTGCGGCTAGCATGAAGGGGGTGGTTGTGGACTCCATGGAGAACGCCTTGAAGAAGCTGACGGATGAGGTCGCCCGTAAGATCGACGGCGCGTCATCCAACATCGCGGGAACCGCCGAGAAAGCGATCACCACAAGCGGCGTCACCAACTCTCTCAACATCATCATCGCGATGCTTTCCGGGCGTGACGCACCGCGACTAGTCACCGATGGGCCGCAGGGGAAGGAGTCACACGAGGTCGCAAAGAAAGAGGTAGGGAAGAGGGTCGCGGAGAAAGAAACGGTGAAGAGGGAGACAGGGAAGAAGGCTCCGGACAAGGACACAGGTAAGAGGGTCGCGGACAAGGACACAGGGAAGGGTGAGAGCAGCAGGGGAGGGAAGCGGCAGAAAGGTCCCGTGGCGACTAGCGTCACAGATCTCCTTAAGATAGGGGGCGCGGTCGTCGTGCGTGCAGCGGGAACCACCAGGGTGGATGCGGCTGCCGGACCACCGCCTGCCCCCTCGGCGGTTGAAGCTGCTAAAGGCAAGGACAAGGTCGAGGACGCCCCGCCAAACACCACCCCCACCACTACCGCCAACACGACCGCGATAGTGCCCGCGGCTGGTAACACCTCCGCGGTTGCTAATGGACAGCCTGGACCCAGCTCCATCGCCTCTGCAGATGTGAAGGCGAAGAATCAGGGCCGCGGTGGTTGTAAGCCGCCTCCGGCCGCGTTGAAGGCGGAACACGAGGACGACGACGACTCGGACGAGAATGATGTTGTTGAGCTGGTTTGGTAGAGGTTCATGGGGCCAAGCGACACCAGCGGCACTAGCGGCAAGCGCAAAGGTTGTGGTATCCACCCTCCGCCCAGGGGTGGAGAGGGGATGGTGGGCGAACCGTGGCTGGGGGGGAGGTGTCGCTGGCTGGGACATCACTCACTCCAGGAGGTGTAGTACCTGACCGCGATCTCGGTCATGTGTTACGACAAGAAGATTGTCCCCGGCCTCAAGCTGACTGCACAGCAGAGGAGTGAGTGGGCCGAGGACATCTCCGCGGCCGGGACGATGTGCACCGGGCTATTCGCCACCATGCACCTCCGCAACCTTTGCGGCAATGTTGACAGGTACGGTCGTGTGTTCAGTTATTTGTGAACACGGGTTCACAGGATCGCGGTCACATTCGCGACTAACCATGTCCCGTGTTTTCCCCCTACTTGCAGGTACCACCACACGTTCAAGGCCTACCGCGACTTCACCCGTCCCGGTTCCACCCTCGGTAACGCGGTCGCTTGGGCAACCGCGGTGGGAAAGGAGGCTGCAGACGAGGAGCCCGATGTCACCGGGGACCAAGTGGGCCTGTTTGCTGGCGCGGTCGCGTGCGCCATAGCCATGGTGTGGGAAACCTGCAACGGTCTCGATCTCGAGGGGGTCACGGATGCTGGATACGTCGCGGCGCAGTGTGCCGGCACTCCAGAAGAGAAGGCCCGTGGTCACGTATCGATTGTGACCGCGGTATTCAAGTGGGCCAAGAAGGAGAGTGCTCGCAAGCAAGCACCCGAGGTCACACCGAAACAGATCGCGGAGAAGATAGAGACCGTTGTGGTGAACCGCCTTGGTGCGCGACTTGGGGACCCCACATTGGTCGGTATGGTCGCGCACGAGGCAGTAGATGTGCTGATGACCTGGTGCGACTGCAAGATCGTGGCCAAGGCGATGGGGACCAACGGTCTCTATCTTGCACTATCAGACAAGCGTCTGTCCGCGAAGAAGAGGTCCGCGTGAATGGGGTGGTAGTGGTTGTGAACTGTGGGTTCTAGGGACACTTGTTTGTGTTGTTTGTGATAGTATAGGTAGCTTGCCCACCCTGCTTGAGATTTTCTCGCGGTGGTCATTTTGTCTATGCTGTGTGCTCCTTTCTCATGCAACTCTCTTGCTCAATCGCGACCGGCATTTCACGTAATCCTCGGCACTTTTTGAAGTGAGATTTCGCGAACAAGGTCAAATGCATGGTTGAGCCAACAGTACTACACACACTATTCGAACGCGTTACAATGAGCAGTTTACGTCTGCTCTGTAACGCAATCGGAACATTCGGAAGCCTCCATTGCGACACACGGTATATTCTCATGAAACACAAACACAATCGCGGTCTACTAAACATGTCCCGAACGCGATCAACATCTGATCTTACCCCCATACTAATCTAGGCGTGGCATCTGGGCACAATACTGTGGCCACGCGACTCGAAACTCTGACGCGGGAAGGGAGGCATCGATGAAGTGGTCGCGTACAAGCATCCATTTCACACGCAGCTGCACCTCAGCCAGGGAGCCCTTCTTCAGCTCGCTTAGGTTCAAGTCAACACACTTCTTCTTCACCGCGACCCCTTCCGATACACCCGACATGCCCACGGCTACAGACACGATGTCGAGCTTGTCGAGCACGACCGCGAGCTTGTCCCCTTGCTCCACCCTGTGGGCGATGAAGTCCATGATTCGCTTGACACGGTTTATCGCGTTTTGGCCACCTCCAACCTTCCCAATAAGCTCGGCCAACAGTGTAACTGCACCGCGGGGCTGGGCGATAAGCGACTCCGGACTCTCGCCGATCAGCCGTCCGACGGTTTTGCCGCGTTGACCCATGGGAGGACGATCGCGTCCCGAATCGTCTCTTCCCTCATGGGCTGTGCGGGTTTCTTCCTCGTTCCCTGGTCGGTGGGAGTTGTGGCCTTAGCAGGCTCGGCCGCGGCACAAGGAGTGTCTGCCAGACTCGGATCCGCGGTCGGCCCAGAGCTGCTCACGGTGAGACGCGACAGCTGGGCCTCCAAATCATTCACGCGCTCGTCCTTCGTGGCCAGCTTCCGATCGCGATCCTCCAGCAGTCCCTCCAGCTCTTTCACCCGTTTATGAGTCGCGACCAACTCTAGGCCCAGTCTGGTGTTGTCCGCTTGTGAACGAGTCAGGTACTCAGTGAGGACGATCACTTGGTTCTGCGCGCCCATTCTGGTACTCACCTTCTGCATGGATAGAAAGCGACCGCGAAATTGTCATGGTTTGGCATTGACATCACAGCCGGAAAGATAACGCGACCATGCAGTACTTATCGCGGGCTGGGTCAGTGTAGGTGTGTTGCGCTGTACTATGGCTAGTTGATTTGCCAAGGAGACATCTGCAGCCCACGACGCAAATTCCTCCGTCTGGCAGAGCGGGTTGTTGACCACGTACAGGTGTCGCAGCTGGTGGATGTAATACATTGCCAGGTCTTGCACGATCGCCATCCTAGCGTCCCCATCCAGCTCCTTCAGTATGTTTAGCCCTGCGGTGTCCTGCTTCTCCAGCTTCTGCTCTTTGACCATCTTGCGGTTGCAATCCTTGCACTATGACAAGAAAACAACGCGGTAGTGAACGCGGTGCTAGAGGGTTGTGTGGGATGCTCGCGGTCGCGTGGAACTATTATGCGCGGCCCACTCATACCTGTTTCTGTCCTTTGTCCGGGGCGGCCCAGGGAAAAATGTGCTTCCTCAGTAGCTTCTCCGGCTCCGGGCTCACTGGCACAGTTGCGCGACCAAGGAAGTAGTCAACGTCAACCCCGGTGAAGCCTGCCTTCAGCAGCACAGCCTCCCTCTGAATGGTTGTGAGGTAGTGCTTAGTCATCACGTTGATGAAGCGCCAACCACCCAGCCTCGCGAGCTGATCCGAAGGCATTCCGTCCGCGGACGCATGCTGCGCCCCCCCAGCCCTAGTCGCGTGTACCGCACGTGAGCATGTGATTCCCGCGTCCTGGAGAATCTTCGCCACCCAGTCGTGATGAGTCGTGGGCGGTATTTGCTTCTCGGTGCCCGCACGAAGGGGGAAGAATAGGTATTGATCGTACCACGTCGAGGGTTCCGTGAAGTCGAGAGGGGGGGCTATGTCCTTGTAGAGGATGGGAACCAAGTCGTACACCCAGTGCAGCCACAGTAGCGTGGCTCCGACCGCGCACAGCGTCCTATCTATGTGCCTCACAGCAGATATGTAGTTGAGCGAAAAGTCCTTGTTTGTCTTGCCCGTCCTGCACGCGCAGACAAACATGAACGCGTTCCTCACTGGATCGGTCTCGGATTTTGCGCCGAGCTTCCACATCATCATGTCTGGAAGCTGCAGGTTTCTGATCGTGCACTCGCGGGCCAGAGTGTGATGACCGAGCACGGTCATCGTCCGGATGCAGAGGTCGCGATGCATTGCCTGCGTGTATGCTTTCTTGGCTAGTGTTGTCAGGCATATATGCTATAGTCTGTGTAGGCTATAGTGGGGCAGTTCATATGGGGTACAACACTTCAAGGTTTACTACTTGTACTCCTCATTCTGCTCAATGCACTCATTCCTCGTTTCTTGTCATGGTATCGAGCAGGTTCCCTAGTGGGAACGTTACCTAGGGCCCACCACGATATTTTTTTTCCTGCCCGGAGCGCGCTTCACTCCTGCCCGAGTCGCGCTCCGTGTGCCCTCCCTACCTTCGCGCCGCCCTTAGTGGCCCCTCTCACGGCCCCTTACGCCGCCCTTACGGCCCCTAGCGCCGCCCTCTACGGCCCCTCGCGCCGCCCTTACGGCCCCTTACGGCCCCTCGCGCTGCCCTTACGGCCCCTTACGGCCCCTCACGCCGCCCTTACGGCCCTTGCGCGGCCCCCTTTTGGCCCCTCGCGGTGCCCTTTCCGGCCCCTTACGGCCCCGTCGCCACCCCGTTTAGGCCCCTTGCGGCCCCTCTTTGGCCCCGTCTAGGCCCCTTGCGGCCCCCTCTGCGGCCCCGTCTAGGCCCCTTGCGGCCCCTCTGCGGCCCACCTGCGGCCCCGTCGCCGCCACCTGCGGCCCCGTCGCCGTCACCTGCGGCCCCGTCGCCGCCACCTGCGGCCCCTTCGCCGCCACCTGCGGCCCCGTCGCCGCCCCCTGCGACCCCGTCGCCGCCACCTACGGCCACGCAGCCGCCACCTGCGGCCCCGCCGCCACCTGCAGCCCCGTCGCCGCCACCTGCGGCCCCGTCGCCGCCACCTGCGGCCTCGTCGCCGTCACCTGTGGCCTCATCGCCCTCCCCTAGCGGCCCTGTCACCGCTCAGCCGCCCAGCGACCGAGCCGCCGAGCAGCCCAGCAGCCGAGCCGCCCACCTGCCGAGCAGCCGAGCCGCCCAGCAGCTTAGCCGCCCAGCAGCCGAGCCGCCGAGCAACTGAGCCACCCAGCAGTCGAGCCGCCCAGCAGCCGAGCCGCCGAGCCGCCGAGCCGCCCCGCAGCCGTGCCGCCCAGCAGCCGAGCCGCCCTGCCGCCGAGCCGCCGAGCCGCCCTACTGTCGAGCCGCTGCTGTTCCTACCGGTGCGCCCCGGCCCTCCTTCCTCGGACTGGTGAGCTCACTCCCTACTAGCCCACTGCAGTCATGGCTACCCCCAGTGTCCATACTTTTGATGCTGAGGGCCGTGCCGTTGACTTTGAGGTCTGGGTCGATGACCTCCAGCTGTTTCTCCAGTGCGATAGGGCAGACGGACTCTCTCGGTTCGATCTCACCTCTGGTGCCTCTCCTGCCCCGCCTGCTACTCCTGACAGCACTGTTCGCTCACAGTGGGCCACACGCGATGCTGCTGCTCGCCTTGCTGCGCGTCGCCACTTACCGACCACTGAGCGTGCACACTTTAGCTAGTACAAGAGTGCTCAGACCTTGTACGACGCTGTAGCTGCACGCTACTCTTCCCCTGCCACTGCTGCACTGAGCCGCCTCATGCTATCGTGCCTCTTCCCTGACCTTGCTGCCTTTCCCACAGTCGCTGACCTCATTACGCACCTCCGCACTAGTGACACTCGCTACCGCGCTGCGCTTCCTGCTGAGTTCTGCGCCAAGAACCCCCCCCCCCCCATGTACATCACCCTCTACTACATAGTCACCCGGCTCCCTGACTCTCTCCGCGTAGTCAGGGACCACTTCCTCTCAGTTTGCCCCACCACTCTCACCATTGACCTCCTCGAGAAGGCCCTCCTAGCAGCAGAGAAGAGCATAGTCGCTGTAGGAGCCTCTTGTGGTGACCCTCGCACCCCCGTCTTTGAGGGGTGTTCCCCCTCCCCCCTCTTGCCCTCTGTTGCCTCTATTGCTGCGGCGGACCTTGTTGGTTTCGAGTCAGTCGGCGCTGCGTCTGCCCCGAGCGGGAGACGCCGCACCGGCAAGGGCAAGGGGGGCAAGGGCGCTGGAGGGGCTGGCGGGGGCGGTGGAGGTGGCGGTGGAGGCAGTGGAGGGGGTGGGGGTGGTGGTGGGAGTGGTGGCGGGGGTGGAGGTGTCGGTGGCAGCAGTGGAGGCGGAGGAGGCGGCGGCGGTGGCGGAGGGAGCGGAGGCGGCGGAGGTGGTGGAGGCGGCGGAGGCGGCGGAGGTGGCGGAGGCGGCAGCGGCAGGAGTGGACCTGGTCGCAGCTCTGTGCAGAGGAGTGGCTCCGGTGGTGGTACGCGCCAGCAGCAGCAGCGCAGTCGTGAGACCCTGTCCCCTCAGCAGCTTCGTGAGTGGTACGCTGCGCGTCAGCGCGGTGGGGGTACGGGTCCCTGCACCTACGTTCTCCGCGACGGCGACCGCGCTGGTGAGCAGTGCGGGGGCCCGCACTCCACCCAGCGCTGCTTCGGCCGCCTGACGGACGCGTGGCGTCACCAGTTCCCTGAGGCCTCTCAGATCCCTCGCTTGGGAGAGCTGTCTAGGGCGGGGGTTGCTATCTTTGATCTTGATTTTGATGCTATTCTTGCTGCCATGTATGCTCTTGCTGATAGTGTTGAGGGTGACTGTTGCCTATGTGTTCCGCCTGACCCGGGCATTGAGCCTGCTGCTCTAGGTGCTAGTGAGGCTGCTGCTCTAGGTGCTAGCGCGTCTGCTGCCCCAGATTCTTGTGAGTCTGCCCTCTCAGGTACCACGTCGGCTCAGGCCTTACACACCTTCACCCTTGACTCGGGTGCTTCCCGCTCCTTCTTTCGAGACCGCACCACACTTACACCACTTAGTCGGCCGGTTGCGGTCTCCCTGGCGGACCCCTCTGGGGGTCCTGTCCTTGCTCGCTTCTCCACTATCTTACCGTGTCCGGCAGCCCCCTCTGGCACCCTGTCAGGTCTCTACCTCCCCTCGTTCTCTACAAACTTGGTGAGTGGAGCGGACCTACAGGATACGGGGGTTGACCAGTTCACTCCTGCGAGTCAGCGGGTGACCCACTGCACATGTGCTCGGACAGGCCGACACTTGGCCACGTTCACCCGTCGGCCAGGGTCGAGCCTGTACACCCTTACTACTGAGTCTCCTCCGGCTGCTGAGTTAGGCCAGGTGGCTGCGTCGAGTCAGGTGTTTGCTGCAGCGTCCAGGTCTGGTCCTGAGTCTGCTCCCTGCTCGTGTCGTCTATTGTCCCACCAGACTCTCCTCTGTCTCCGAGGCATGGCCTCCCGTGTCCTTGTCTCTGGTCTCCCCCGGTCTCTCCCTCCCCTACCTCCGGGGCGTGGCCCTACCTGCGTCCCCTGCGTCGAGGGGCGACAGCGCGCCGCCCCTCACTCCTCCAGAGTTTCCTCCGACAGAGGCTCCGCTACAGACCCTACACATGGACGTGTGGGGCCCCGCCCGCGTCCGTGGGCAGGGGCACGAGCGTTACTTCCTGCTGGTGGTTGACGACTACTCGCGTTACACCACAGTCTTCCCCTTGTGAAGCAAGGGGGCCGTCACTGAGGTGTTGATCGACTGGATCCGCACAGTTCGTCTCCAGCTCAGGGAGAGTTTCGGCTCGGACTTTCCTGTTCTGCGTCTGCACTCGGACAGAGGCGGGGAGTTTTCCTCTGCCCGTCTGGGAGCCTTCTGTCGTGCACAGGGCATCCGCCAGACCTTCACGCTTCCGGCCTCTCCACAGCAAAATGAGATTGCTGAGCACCGCATTGGCATGGTCATGGACGTCGCTCGTACGTCCATGATGCATGCGGCTGCCCCCCATTTTCTATGGTCGTTATCGGTTCAGTACGCCGCGCATCAGCTCAACCTTCAGCCCCGGATCTCCTTGCCAGAGACCTCCCCCACCTTGCGGTGGACGGGGAAGGTTGGCGATGCGTCTGCGTTTCGGGTCTGGGGATCTCGGGCGTTTGTCCGCGACTTGTCTGCGGACAAGCTGTCCCCCCGTGCTGTTCCCTGCGTCTTCCTTGGCTTCCCCCCTGACGCGCCTCGGTGGCAGTTTTACCACCCCACCTTGTGCCGTGTTCTGTCCTCCGAGGACGTCACCTTTGACGAGTCGGTGCCTTACTACCGTCTCTTCCCCTACCGCACTGCGCCCCTCCCCCCGCCGCCGCTCTTCCTTGCGCCTAGTCCTCCCCCGATAGACCCCCTCCCCCCTCAGAGTCCTGCCCCGTCAGGTGTGTCCCAGGCAGACGTAGTCGAGCCTGTCGAGGTAGCTGTTGACTCTGGTGCTGCTAGAGGTGCTGAGCCTGCGGGTGCCGGGTCTGGAGGTGCTGAGTCTGGGGGTGCTGAGACTGGGGGTGCTGAGTATGGGGGTGCTGAGCCTGGGGGTGCTGAGCCTGGGGGTGCGGAGCGTGGGGGTGCGGAGCCTGGGGGTGCGGAGCCTGGGGTTGCGGAGCCTGGGGGTGCGGAGCCTGGGGGTGCGGAGCCTGGGGGTGCGGAGCCTGGGTCTGCTCGTGTGGCCGCCGGCGGTGCTTCGTCGAGGCGGGAGCCACTCTCTCCACAGGAGCTGCGTGAGTGGTTTGCCCGCCGCTGGAGCCGTGCTGCTGGAGCTGGAGGTGCTCGTACTGGCGGTCCTGGAGCTGCTGGGACTGGGGGTGCTGTTGGGGCTACTGGAGTTGGTCCTACTGGAGTTGTACCTGCTGGAGCTGCTGGTGATGCTGGTGCTGCTGGAGTTGGAGCTGCTGGAGGTGTTGGCGCTGGTGGTTCTGCTGGCGCTGGTACGTCTGGGGGTGCTTGAGTTGGCTTTGTTGGAGCTGGAGGTGCTGCTGGCGCTGGTCCTGCCGCTGGGAGTACTGGTGCTGTCCTTGCTAGCTCTGGAGGCGCTGCGCGGCCGAGGCCATACTTCGTTCCACTCCTGGAGCAGGCTCTTGGTCTCCCTCCCTCTATTGGTCCTGCTCCTCCCTTAGAGTGTCCACAGCCTGTCCAGTCGCAGTCACAGTTACAGCCCGCCTCCCCCTACCTGCTCCTTCTCCCTACACTGGTCCTACTGGCGGTCTTGCTGAGCGTCGTGAGCCTGCGTCTCGTCCTGCGTCGCCTGTTTGTGCTGCTCGCACTAGTGGTCATACTGCGCGTCCGTGTCCTCCTGTGGTCCCAGGCACACACCAGATGGTGCTGCGTCCTTCCACTGCTCCTCTGCGTGTCCCGTTGCCGTCTCCTCCAGAGTCCTCTCTTCCTACTCTTGCTGACCCGGAGTCTGACTCTCTTCGTGCTGCCAGTCCTTCTGTCACGCGTCTCCTGGCTACTGTTGTCACTGACCCTTCCTTTGCGTACACTGCTGTGTCTGCCTTACTTGCTGAGCTTGTCGACTTCGCTGCTCGCTGTCGTCTAGACTACGCTGCTAGTCTTGTTGCTGAGTCTGAGTCTGTCTGTCCTCCGTCCGTCGGGGGTGAGTGTGCTCTTAGCACGGACGTCCTTGAGGACAGGCAGGAGGAGTTCCAGTGCTTTGCTGCTGCTTTGCCTCATCTCGTGTCCATGCTGATTGCCCCTGAGGGAGACCCGGATGCACCAGACATCCCCGACTCCTCGATCGTACATTGAGGCGATCGAGGGTCCCTTCTCCTCTCAGTGGCAGTCAGCCATGGACGCAGAGATGGCTTCCTGGAAGTCCACAGGCACCTACGTCGACGAGGTTCCCCCACCTGGGGCGAACATCATCAGTAGCATGTGGATTTTCAGGGTGAAGCTGCGTCGCCCACCTGCCTTCACTGACTCTTTTCCTCCTGGCACCCAGTGGAGCCTCCGGCGGCCAGTCTACGGTCTCCGCCAGGCGCCCCGTGAGTGGCACGACACATTGAGGACTACAGTTGCGGCTCTTGGGCTTGCTCCTTCTACAGCCAGCCCGTCGCTGTTTCTACGCACCGACACATCTCTGCCGCCGTTCTACATCCTCGTGTACATCGACGACTTGGTCTTTGCCACTGCTAACACTGCTGGACTCGCCCACGTGAAGACCGAGCTGCAGAAGAGACACACGTGCACAGACCTGGGTGAACTGCGCAGCTACCTTGGCTTGCAGATCACCCGGGACAGAGCACAGCGCACCATTACCCTGTCTCAGTCACACATGGTGCAGCAGGTCCTTCAGCGCTTCGGCTTCACGTACTCCTCGCCTCAGGCCACTCCTCTGTCTACTTGCCACTCGCTCTCAGCTCTTCCTTCGGATGAGTCTGTAGAGCCGAGTGGCCCATACCCAGAGCTTGTTGGCTGCCTCATGTACCTGATGACCTGCACACGACCTGACCTTGCATACCCTCTTAGCATCTTGGCACGCTATGTTGCTCCTGGGAGACACCGACCAGAGCACATGGCTGCAGCGAAGAGGGTGTTGCGCTACGTGTGCAATACGTCAGGCATGGGGCTAGTGCTTGGAGGGCGGCGTCTAGTGGTCCTCACAGGTCACGCAGACGCTTCTTGGGCTGACGACCAGCCGACACAGCGGTCGTCACAGGGTTACACCTTCAGCCTTGGCTCCGGCTCTGTTTCGTGGCGGTCTACCCGCTCGTCTTCTGTTCTCACCTCCAGCTGTGAGGCTGAGATCTACGCGGGGGCCATGGCTGCAGAGGAGCTACGCTGGCTCACCTACCTACTGACTGACCTAGGAGAGCCGCCTCGTTCTCCTCCAGTTCTGTACGTAGACAACAAGGCCATGCTGGCCTTGCGTCGGGAGCACAGACTGGAGCACAGAATGAAGCACATTGCTCTCCGCTACTTCCTGGCTCGTGAGCTGCAGAAGCGTGGTCAGCTCCGTCTCACCTACGTGGCCTCTGAGGCCAACACTGCTGATATCTTCACCAAGGCCCTTCCGCCTTGTGATCATCAGCGCTTCTGTACTATGCTAGGTCTTGTGCCTACTTGGCCTCACTTGCTCTCTTCTTGACCTTGTTTGTACTGTACTCTTTCTATACCTGCACTTGCTTGTTTACCTTTATATATATGATCTTGCGTGTGAACTGGCCTTGTGGCCTTGCTCTTGTGCTCGGACTGTGTGGTGACGGAGTGATCCACCCTGAGCTTGCTTTGCTTTGCTTGACTGGTCTTGTAACCCCTTGTTCTCCCCCACTTTTGCCTATGGGGGTGTGTCAGGCATATATGCTATAGTCTGTGTAGGCTGTAGTGGGGCAGTTCATATGGGGTACAACACTTTAGGGTTTACCACTTGTACTCCTCATTCTGCTCAATGCACTCATTCCTCGTTTCTTGTCAAGTGTGAAGCTGGTCAAGATCGCGTCCATGCTGGTCTTCCGCATCATATGCTTGAACTCGTCCGGGGTGTACGTGTCCGCGGCCGTGCCCCGATGGCGATCCATGTGTTCCGTGCGCATCGATTTGGACGATAGTGCGGGTGTTAGTGGACGCGGTATTGTTGGGCATTAAACGCGCTCACTGAGTACGTATACTTACGCGATAAACCGTTTATACTGGTCGCGTACTTGAACGCGGACCCAGATGCGACACTCTCCAAAGTCGCGCAGCAGGTTGAGAACGGGCTTCCTGAAGATGGCCCCGTCCAGCTTGATGAGCAGGTTCAAAGCCTTGAGACGCCCCATCAGCATTGCCGGGGTGCACTGGCGTCTCTTCTTCAATGTCTTTTCTGGCCGCTTGAGTGTGGCCATCCTGTCCGCCTGTGCGACTGTCTCGTTCGCGAGGAAGGTCACGTATTTGCGTAAGCGCCACGGATTTGTCTCAGGGCTATGGAACCATTGCTCGTCGCCCTCCGCCATCTTCCAGTCACCACCCATGTTCTGTTCGAGCGCGGCCCCTATCTCGTCGGGGTTCCTGTTTCTCAACGCGGCCTCCTCACCAAACCTACCCGCATCCAGTTTAGGCAGCTCGTGAGCCATGAATCGCTTGTACTCGTTGGCCCAACCGCGATACTTCTTCAGCGTGGCCTCAGAGACACCGTATAGGATTCCGTAGCACATCTCTCGTTCCGCGGCCGGCGTGTCGTCCACACCAAGCCTGTTCCAATCCGCGATAGGGACCTCAATGTCCCTCCGCGTACCCCGCACCCGTTCGTTGTCTTCCGCCTCCTCCTCGTTGAGCGCGGACAGCCAGTTCGATAGGCAGTTTTCGTCATCGTCATTCCAACTATCGTCCCATCGTCAGCGTCGTCCTCGTCATCCTCATCGCTTGCCCCCTCGCTCCCCTCCCGGGAGTCGTTGCGTGCCGTGTGCGGCACGACATCGACTCACCGCCTCCTTATACGCGGTCTATTAACTGGCCCGTTACCGGTACCGCTGTTCGCGTTAACACCGTTACCCCTGCTGCCGTTACTTGTCACCCCATGCGCTCCCTGCCCGTTCGCACTATCCCCGTTGTCAGAACATATCTATAGCTTATACTGCTGTGTAGGCTGTAGTGGGGTATCCCATAGGGGGTACAACCCAGTTAGGGTTTCATATTTGTACTGCTTTCGTTCATAGTTCATTCATTCCTGTTTTCCTATTGTCACATGGTATAGAGCGGGTCCTACCTTAGGACCGTTGTCTGGGCCCACCGACGCGCGCCCCGAGGCGCGCCCTTTTTTTTAGCGACCTCTCGGGTCGCCTTTTCACTCGCGGCCCCGCCGCCTCCTCTGACGCGGCTTTGCCGCCTCCCCTGACGCGGCCCAGCCGCCTCCCTTGATGCGGCCCCGCCGCCTCTTTTAACGCGGCCCCGCCGCCTCCCTTGACGCGGCCCCGCCGCCTCCCTTGACGCGGCCTCGCCGCCTCCCCTGACGCGGCCCCGCCGCCTCCCCTGACGCGGCCCTGCCGCCTCCCTTGACGCGGCCCCGCCGCCTCCCTTGACGCGGCCCCGCCGCCTCCCCTGACGCGGCCCCGCCGCCTCCCCTGACGAGGCCCCGCCGCCTCCCCTGACGCGACTCCGCCGCCTCCCCTGACGCGGCCCCGCCGCCTCCATTGACGCGGCCCCGCCGCCTCCCCTGACGCGGCCACGCCGCCTCCTCTGACGCGGCCCCGCCTCTGCTGCCGACGGCCCCGCCGCTGCCCTCTACGGCCCGCCGCTGCACCCTGCCGGCCCGTCGCTGCTCCTGCCGGCCCGCCGCTGCACCCTGCCGGCCCGCCGCTGCTCCTGCCGGCCCGCCGCTGCACCTACCGGCCCGCCGCTGCACCCATCGGCCCGCCGCCTCTTACGGCCCGCCACTTGCACCTGCCGGCCCGCCGCTGCACCTGCCGGCCCGACGCTGCACCTGCCGGCCCGACGCTGCATCTCCCGGCCGAGCCGCCCCAGCAGCCGAGCCGCCCGGGACCCGAGCCGCCCTGCCGCCGAGCCGCCCGGGAGCCGAGCCGCCCTGCACCCGAGCCGCCCAGCCGCCGAGCCGCCCGGGAGCCGAGCCGCCCTGCACCCGAGCTGCCCAGCCGCCGAGCCGCCCCGGAGCCGAGCCGCCCTGCGCCCGAGCCGCCCAGCCGCCGAGCCGCCCGGGAGCCGAGCAGCTGTGCACCCGAGCCGCTCGGTCGCTGAGCCGCCTTTCTGCTGACTGCACAACCTGCCCTGCCTGGTGAGCACTGTCCCACTGACACTGCGAGCTCTTTCCCTACTGCTTGCACTGCGTCGCTGTCGTCACCATGGCTACCCCTAGTGTCCTAGCTTTTGACGCTGAGGGTCGCGCCATTGATTTTGAGGTCTGGTTAGACGACCTGCAGCTGTTCTTACAGTGCGACAGGGCTGACGACCTTTCTCTCTTTGACCTCACCTCTGGCGCCTCTCCTGCCCCTGCTGCTGATGCTGATCCCGCTGTCC